GGGTTGCGTCATTTTGCCAGCACCCCCTGCTGTGCTGGTGCCGGGTGCGGTGGACGCAATCCCCCATGGAGTTGAGTTGAGAGGGCTGCGTTCTTTCACACATTTGAAACTCAGTCTGAATCTCATGCATAGTTCATGCACAGTTATAAGATCTGAAGAGACTCATGTGAAATCATAGAGGAGAGAAGCCAGTCAGTTGAGTTTGTGGCAAAGCCTTTTACACTGCTGGCATATTGTTGTCTTTTACTGCACATGATAATTCATACTCAAAGTCGAACTGAAGTGACATTTATTATAAAATATAAAAATCACCCTAACAAAAGCATTTCAAAATGCATGTGCATTCTTTTGCATTTTGTGACTTGCACTGGAATAAAAGACTATGTGTATCGTCACACCCCTACTTACTGTATGTGGTACTACACCCCACTAGAGCTTCTATCAGCTTCAGTCTCATATATACCTGCACACATATAACCAGTTCATTTACTTAAATACAACAGATGCCTCTGCCTCACACACACAAAACAACTCAAGCAACAGGCCTTCACTTCAATTCTGTGGTATAATAAGTCTGACATAAATACTGAAGCACCAGTTGGTGTCTGGACTCCCTCTAGCTATGCAGTCGTCACTAACCTAATCGTATTAATGGATTTCAGCCCCAATTTTGCTACAAATACGGAAGCAGACACAGAGGGAGATAAACTGGTGGAAGCTTTGAAAACTGGGTTGGGTCCATTGCCCCCATTTTGCCTAGCTACAGTTCCTAATCTGATGGATTTTTCCCCCCAGAAAGGCTGGACAAAAAAAACGGAGCCTAAAACCAGCCAGTCAGTTCTGGCTGTGTAGAGCTATCCTTACAGACACAGTGCATCAACAAGCGGTTTCCCACAGTGTGATTACAGTCAGGTGTCAAAGTGTGCTAGGTTGACTTCTCTGTACACCTCACTATACAAATATTTACAAGAGTTTTATTTTTAAATCAAATCTGTGTACGCACTTTATCTACATCAGGCTTATCATACTATAAGAAATAGTATAAGCTGGAGGCTAATAATGATTATACTGCAATGTAATACTGAGTGATTATTACTTACAGAGCAAGTCAGAAGCCATGCTGGTTTGACTGTGCTGATTGCCAGTATAGTCTGTTCCATCCAATTATGAGACAAGTCTGGTGTCATATATATATAGCTGCAAATTTTGGGGCTGCAAACCTTGGACTAATCTGTGCTAAGATTTACACATGCATCTCAAGGACTTAGGCAATAGGCAATAAGTGAAGTCAGTGATCATGTATTTGCCAAAAAAATGGGTGGAGAAAACTTTACTACCTGGATAAACTCCTGAACAAGCAGTTAATGTTCCTACAGATCCAAGCAAGACACACAGTGATAAACACAACATAATGATGAACATTACACAATGTGCAGCATTATAGTTGTTGCAGTGTAATAACTCGCCGTTTGACTGATGACAGCATGTGTTGTAAACCGAGTTTGTAGGCAAGCTGCTAACATACCTTAATGGTCAGCCCGCATTTAATTAAACTATTAAAGACCGCGCACTATGTCCTGCCCCCATTTGTGATGTCACAATGATTTAAAGCATCATTGAAAACTGAATTCAAAAGAGGCCAAAATCACTAAGATTAAGAGAAAATGAGATAATAGTCTGCTGCTTCAATTTGATACAAAGATGTCCTCCAAACAGGAACCCATACAGAGAATGAGACATACATCTGCCACATTGATCTCTGATTGATTGTGTGTCCTTAAACCAAGTTGATCATTAACAAGCTAACAAATTAAGTCATTAATTGTCATGACAGCGGCTGACACCTCCTTTATTAAACTACATAATTAATAAGCCTTTATTGGAATTAATTATAATGAATTGATGTTTGGGATTTGGGGACATGTGTAGGAGCATTAGAGGGTTTATGTTTTGCTGTCCCACAGCACACACACACACACACACACACACACCCACAGAAACACTGACACAAAAACCTGGGTGCGAACTAACTATTAACGGTGCATCCTGCTGTGGGAAGATGAGCTCACCGCACACACACACACAGTGATCTACCAGCTGACCTACTGTATTTTACATTTACATTTCAACAAACAACAAGGTTCCACTGTGACTTGTGGCGTTGATGTGTGTGGAAGAGCCAGAGCGACAGCCAGCGAGAGGATGACTTGACAGACAAGGGGAAACACACAGGGATTCACAGCCTCAAAGAAGCAAAACACATTTGTGGGACACTACATCACAAAAATAAACTCCCGAAAGTCTTGGTAATGTGTGCGTTTTTGTGTGCAAGTGTGTTTGTGTGTAGCCTGAGAGTCAGACATGCTTGTGGGCCTGAGTGAATTGTCTCTACTGAACATTCCTCAGTTTTCTAAAAACTGAAAAAACTCTGCCAAACTGACTTGTACTGGCACATCAAACACTACATGATACCACAATGTGAGCACAAACCCACACATGCACAAGTATGCATGCGTGCACATGTGTTTACACAGATGAAGTCGTGCAAACATGCGCATGTAAAGACACACATATACAAACACAAACCACAGCTAAAAGCATCAAGGAGCTCAAAGCAATCGGCCCTGCTGAATATCATTGCCAAGCAAAGCCAGCACACCACATAATGAAAAGCACACACACACACACAAATGCCCACACTCTTGCGCAAAAGGCCTCATACATACAATATATACCCAAGACCATAAACTAAGGCTTGCACTAATCATTTTTCTATACAAACATGCTAAAATAACAGCCATTCATAAAAACACAACAAGGCTAATTTTCAAAGAAACACATTGATACCATGGAGTGAGCAAATGCATATGAGCACGAACACACACAAACAGACAAACTAAGTCAATGAGCCTCCCCAATTACACACAAAGATAATTCCCCCCTTAGCCCTACTTGTAGTTTTAATAAAAGGATATTTTGGGTCATTCTCCACCAAAACTTCTGCCACGAATGAATAAAATTTGGTTAAAAAAACTAAACAACTAAATAAAAGAGCAATATTTCTTTCAGAAACCTGACTTTGGACAGTTTTCACTTTTACTTTAGTAAAACAGCTCATAGTAAAAACTGCTGAGACAGACAGAAAAAAAAAGAGCAGGAGTGTGTGAGATAAATGCTTCAAAGTGTAGGGTGACACAGATGTAGGAGGATCATACAGCAGTTGTACATCTGTGTGTACACGCAGTGCAACTGATGACTCAGGGAGGGGAAATGGCAGCAAGCCTAAACAAATTCAGATATTCCACCAGGTCTGTGTATTCATGTTAATCTTACGTGTCGTTTTACAATAACCCTGAATCAGCAAAACTCAATATGGTTAAGGTGCATCATACCACCTACCACTATATGAACACACACAACTGCTTACTAAATTTACAAACTCATGCTCTGACTCTTCCACCAACAAAAACACAGATGAGCAGGTAATAAAGGATTGTGCACATACAGTGAAGACTTCAAGGTTCAACACAGTAGTCACAGAAAGAGAGCAGCAACAATATTCACACTCCGATAAGTATGATGAACACTACACCACAAACCACTGCAGCTTTGCATGCACATTTACATAATAAACTCAACTGAATGAATTTGTATTTCCTGTAGTACAATAACCTGCGTGTGTACGAGTGCCTTCTTGAATACATGCAGCAGCAGAAACAATAGCAACAAATTTCATTGTGCATCACCACTACGCAGCAGGTTGGCTTGTGAAAGTTTTGTAGTGGATTAACAGTAAGGTGAAATCAAAACAGTCGCATCAGTGGTATAGTTAACAACAAACAGCTGGTAACAATTCATTACATATTTTGCTTTGAGTGCATTTAATTTTACCCAGCCAATTAAACAACTGACCAAGCTGCTACCCCTAAACTTTACTGAGTGTAAGGAACTAATGAGCTCTGCTAATGAGGTTTACTGAAGTGGAGTGAAACAAAGTAGACATGATGGAGGACCAGGTAATGTTCAGCTAAGAATCAGTCACTCTATAATGTCAAAGACATTCTCCAGCACCCTCTGCTAAACCTTAAGACCAAAGCACATGGGTAGCATTTCAAGGCAACGCACACAGTCACTTCCTCCTGCAGTGATGACTAAGAGAAGGTTTTCATAATCCTTCTCAGAGTACTGTTGCTCTGCATAAACACTATTTCATCTGTAAGCAAAGGATAAGGGCAGTAATGCTATTCTACCAACAAACCGGCAGAGATGCCCATCGAAATGTCTTTTCTTTCATTTAAAGAGAGGACGTTTTGTCTTTATTTGATTTTTAGATTAAACAAAATCATGACTCACTGAGGTTGAAGAAATAAATAAAAACGTACAGTAGCCTATTCAAGCTCAACCATATAAAAACGCAGAGGTGCAGCACAAACACACAAGATAATGATAAGCATATATGGATGTCACTTTCGGCTTTTCCCCTTAGGGGTCGCCACAGTGAATCGTCACACCGACGATTCGCATGTTGACATTTGGCACGTGTTTTATGCCGGGTGCCCTTCCTGATGCAAACCTGACTCGAACCCGGGGCCACAGCGGCGAGAGCGCTGAATCCCAGCCACTAGTCTATGAGGGGCCCCAAACATATAATGTATTTTAATCAACACACATTTGAGCAAAGCTTAAAACTGAAGCTACTTCTAACTAAACATGGATCAATTGTGAAAAACTGTACAAAAGACTTTTTTTAAAATCACACCTCTAATAGTAAATGCTAGTTAAACATGCTGACATGTAACTCAGACAGACATGAAACTAAATTCAATTATTTTGTGTTTTATGCATAACAAAAGTATTGAAAGTTTTTGAGTTATTTTTGTCACAATTTATGTCATATCATCCTAGTAATGGAGCTCATTATGACATAAAAGTTATAAACCATCATACTGAGGGATCAATGGCTGAATAGAATAAAGCATATAATCATATAGTTGTCCTACCTCTGCTAATCATTAGGCTACAAAAACATCATGGCTGGCTCCTGGCATTGGCATCAGCTCTGTAGATTTGACCCCGTGCCACAAACGGTCCGTCCAGCAGCACACGTTGGCCCCCGGCCTCTGTACTCCACACAGTAATGGGAAGCAGAAACTAGCTGTCAGACACGAACTAATATCCCTCCATTTGTTTATCAGGTCCACGTAACTCCGCACAGATAGGTGAACTAAACTTTAAAAATTGTGTCTTTGACTTTTGTTTTAGTAGGTCTTAAACTCCACGTAGCATCAGTTGCTCTTGGTCCAGGGTCGTTGCTCCTGAATGCGTCACAGCTGGGCAACAGCTTCGAGTTTGATCACGTGTGTTGTAGATCCGTGTAAAAGATCTTATGCAGGCTGTCCTTCTTGCTCTGCTGTCTTTTTGGGTTTTTTTGCTTCTGGTGTAGACTCTCAGTCACGCTTGTCCACCATCTCCTTAACAACCTGGAAAATGACAGAAAGACAAATGATGTTAGAACCGAGCACATTCCGCACCATTTACCAGAACCTGCTTGACTTCAGGGATTTTGTCAGTATTTAGCGTTCACAGGAAACAATTTTATCCAGACTTCATACATTCGAATTGACATGCTGATCAAAGGTGTACAATAAGCAAAAACATCTAATGCCCTTTTGAGACTGTACCCAGACAAACTCTGAGTGAACCAATTTCATCACCAGATTTGACAGCTGACAATGCCTTCCACATGTGAAGTCTGTTTTAAGGCCCCAGGACAAAGTAAAGCCACTGATAATGGAACATACTGTGTCGTCAAAATGTATGTGTGTGATAATGGAAAGCATAAACCAGTCAGTTAAAAATACTTAGAATCAAGTATTCAATACAGGCTGCAGCCTAACTAATAATACCACAAGGAATTCATTCAAATTAGCAAACCATTACAGCCTGTGGCAGCATCACCAGCATCAAATCACTCGCTCTCTCTGTTTGTAGAATTAATATATGCTCTAATTCAATAATGACTGCTTTATGAATCAGAACAAAGCAGTCATCAATGAGCGATTACTAGATATTAATAAATAAAAAAAATCACATATCAAATTTGCATCGACAATCTATTTGGAAAGACTCTCCAGTTCTCAGTTCCCCCTTTTGTTGCCCCAACCACAAAAACCACCCCACCCTCTCTCTGCTCTACCACTCCCCTCTCTCTCTCTCTCTCTCTCACTGCCACCCCTTCTTCTTTCCATCCATCGTGCCTCTCCCTCGTACCACAAATCTAAATCTGAATGTGTATTTATACAAAGCCAGTTTCCTTGGGTCAGTCTGACTAGTGTGTGTGTGTGTGTGTGTGTGTGTGTGTATATCAGTGGCGAATAAGAGGATATAGTCTATATTTGGAACTTCTTTTTTGGTCATTTATAGACACCGTTTTGTCTTCTCTGTTATTCCGAGGCTGTGCATATGAAGCTGTCTTTGTTTGGACATTGTTGGACCATTAGTGAACAAAGAAATGAACACAGAGGAATGGCTCTCATATCCCGGGGTACCGGTTCAGTGGTTCACCTGGTCCAGTGAGTCCCTGACCATGACACGTGGCTCTAAATTTATTTGGACTGTAGAATAAAACAAATGAACATTTGAGATCTTGAGTGTGTCACTATCTGTAAAGGAATGCGTGCTGTTTAAAGTAAGAAAAAGACTTTTCACATAAAACGCATTATGAGTCATAACTGAACTTATGAGTCATTTTAAAGACTCTCCCATTTTACAACAGCAATGTTTTTATGGATATAAATATGTTTTTGAAAGAGTGGCTGATGTTTTCCAGGTAGGCTTCTAAGGAGGAAAACCATCATGTCCCCAGGTAACCCTAGTTTTCCCTGAGGTAAATTAAAACGCCCTTAATGAAAATGTCCCCTTCTTCTCCTCCTCCTTCTCCCTATCTTAACACACTATGAGGACTAAATACAAACACATAGTTCATACTCATACATTCTAATGTTTTCTCCAGGCACTAAAACTGTAACTACAGAATGACAAACACACATTTCTAGTAATTATGTAACTGAACACATAACAGTATTATTGATAAGGGTAGAAAGAAAGTAAGAACATTCTTATAAAAACTGGAGGATGACCTACTCATTGTAGTACTCACAACAGGAAAAAGGGGGAGAAAAAGGTTTTTGTTCAAGACTCAGTGAGACAATTTATTTTCCCTGTGGAGCTCTGACTCAGTCGAGCTGCTACTTACTCATTTACTCACCGTTTTCTTTTGCCCCTCTGCTTTTCTCCTCATCTTCTTTTTCCTTCATTTCTCTACCATGACTTCTCTTTTTTTCATTCCTGTCTCTCTCTTTCTCACTATTACAGCCCGGTTTGCACATCCCCTCTGCTTTACCTATCAATCCATCACTGAGCTCTGTCATCTGCATATGCTTCTTGTTTTTTTCCAAACTGTCACTGTGGCTCAGAGCCCACATGGGGGTGGGGGTGGGTGGGGAGCGAGGGGGGGGGTTCCTAGGGAATGTTTGTTTTTCTGTTTCCAATTTGGTCCAACCCGAGGAACTCCACACTCCACTCTGTCTCAAACACACCATTCATGACAGCCTGACGTACATGATTACACACAAATACCCACTCACTAACGCTCCCTTGCTCACACACACATGAATGTATGCGTGTACTCATACATGCCAAGCGGTCTCACTGCCACCTAAATACACACACTGTGCATACGCACTTACAAATATGCAAACATCACTCGTATTCATTCACCATCATTTTGACCATGAAACACAAGCCCTGTAATTTATCTTTGTTCACATATTTTATTGTTTTCTGATTTGTTATTGCTAATGCCGTTTCAAATGACACGGTGGTCAAACTAATTAAGCTCGTTTCTTCCACGTCTTTCAGTGATTTTCCCCCACCCCGTTCCAGGGAAACTGATTGTCTTTGAAAGGCCTTTTTGATGTGTCTCAATGCATTTTTAGATGTTATGTTGACAGAGTTAAGCTCCATGTTCCATCAATTAGAGCACAGAAAGCACATTGTTTCATAGGCAACTCAACTATTCCATCTGAAATGGATTATTTTAGTCACTTTTGTTGTTTGGATTTCAAAGACAAATGCTGATCTTCACATGCACTAATACAATTTTATCTTGTAGGGATACAAACAAACCAAGAGGCAAACAGGCTTTCTTCTCTGATGTGTGGTGTTTTGCTTTAAGATGCCATGTAGACTGAGTTTAGTTCCACATTCCATTCAAATACGTATTGGACAGGAAACCACACTGCTTTTTATTCAAAAGCTACATATGAAAATTACAGTTTCTGTTGTTTTGATAGTTTGTATTTTAAATTCACAAAGCGTAATGTTCAAAGGTTCAAAGAAATATCTAAGATGAAAAAAAAAAAAATCAGATAATCACACGCGGGATTGGCAAGCAGATTTTTTTCCTGGTATTTAAACATATAAAATTTGTATTTGCCTTTGACCAATCACAGCACAGAAACACATTAAAGTTATGTTGCAAATAAGTATGACTGCAGTAAACTGTGTTTGTCCTGGTTACAGAGACAGGCAGAAGAGCTGAAGCAGTTTTTTTTTTATTTATATACATTTATAGAAGTTGTCCCCACTTAGGTGAGGATGAGGCCAAAACTGTTATGTTGTTGTCCCTCAGACATGTCAAGCCACCCTGTAGGAAAAGATTTCCACTGAAAGGACAAAATGAGGGCAGTAAAACAAAACAATATGGTTTTTATCCCTTGACTAGGAAATACTATCATGATAGCTCCCAGTGGAAGATACACTATGTCAGATAAACATATCTATGAAAAGCTGACACTAATTGACACAGTTGACAGTAATTGCTGATATCAGTGATAAAATGTTGTACTGATGACTGGTTATGGTAACATACAGAATATTCCACAGTTCCTGATCACTTCCTTTTGTCTGGTTACTCTAAATTCGGCCTGAATGAAAGTAGACAACAGTCTTTCAGTTAATTGGTTTGTCGATCATCTAATTAAGTGATTTTTAAGCAAAACAATTCTAATAATCCACTAGCTCCAGCTTCTCTGGTGTGAAGATTTACTGCGTTTCTTTGTCTTCTTTGATAAGATGCTGAATTTTGTTGGCTTCTGAATGTAAGCTTAAGATCTGATATAAATATTATATGCTTTTTTCTAATATTTCTGACAATGTATAGATCAAACAATGAACAATAAAACATTTGACAGCATTCTTATTTACAATAATTAGCAATATTTGAGTTCAAATGCAGTTAATGCTCAAGTGAGAGTGCTCAACACCAAGTTGAGCCACAAGTCCTGAAAATCAGGACTCAAGTCCAAGTCCTGGACTCGAGTACTACAACTAATCAATCTTAAAACATTTCTGTCAACACCGTCTACACATATTTGGTTTGCTGGTGTGTCTAGTTGCTGCACCTCTAAAATGTAAACAGCTGCTATCTGCATTAGTAGACAGTCACTAGTAGACAACAGAGCAAAGCAGCAAACCTTTACCAGGTTTGTTATGACATAAAAACATAATGCTATGACAAGGTTGCACTGGCAATTTTACTCAGTAACCTTGATCAACCAGATCTTTTGGCTGCTGGGGTTAAAGCTGAGGGTGTGGTCTGTGTATTCATTACTGTAAGCAGTGCACAGAGCTTTCGAGTTTTGTAGTGACACAGACACACGAGCAAGTTCTTGAGAAGTCCTACTTCCCTATAATGCAGTAGAAGTGTTCCTCTTAGTGCTTCTTAACGCCTAAATAAACAATCAAATGAAAAATATCGGCCCACTGCTTCCAGTGGGGTGTGAATACAGGCCTAACATTAGAAATGCAGGATGTGAAGGGTGAGGGACTATTGACTGTATACAAACTTGTCAAAATGCTTCCAGTAGTTGTAGAATTATGACTTTTTTAGTTTTTACCAGATGTCATAACAGTGCAAGGCGGACTGACATGGGACAGGACCCCTGCCAGAATTCAATCACTGGGATTTCGTGGTATACACCTAATACCACAAGTACAGCCCAGGATTAAAATATTTTTACAATACTTAATCATTCTTTACAAAAGTTAGTCAAATCAGACAATCAATTAACAGCTCATTTTGGTCCTTTTCTATTTCCCATATGCCACCTGTAACCCCAACAACATAGGAAATTGCTGTCACTATGATCTGTTCCACTAGAGAACATCAACGTACACCTCTAGGACAGTGTCGTTTTATAATATATTCACTCAAATACACTACACACACAGAGAGAAAATGGAACAAAATAAATCCCTAAAGGATTAATCAAAGATATAAAGTTTGTGAACTAGCCAAAATTAGCTGCTACACGGCAGCAAACAGGATTTTTAAAACACAAATGATGACTGGTAAATTGCTGCTGTGACTGGTAGAGAAAACCTTATCAACCATTGCCAAGACAGTACCCGCAGTTGC